CCTCTTTAATAAGAAACCAGGGCCCTGTTTGATAGCATAGACGTGTTGGTGTAGCCAGGGAGCTGATCTCTCCCAGGGCCACCTCGTTTATCAAGCAAAAGGAGGGCTAAAAGGACAACTAATTTTGGCATTTCAAAACTAGACGAAGTTTTTGGGAGTCAGGGATGGAGATCCATTCCCGTTCGGGGTTTAATCCAAAATGTCTAAACGTGTTTCCAAAGTGGACTGCGAGACGAGAGTAGTATTGGATACTGTTGATTGAGTCGAGTCTTTCTAAAGAGTTTTATTAAGTCATTTTGGATTTTTTTTTTTTGGAGGAGTTTTGGGGAGAAGATGTCTGGGAAGAAATCGCTTTTTTTAATGTGTGCTACAATCAGTGCTGTTATCACTATAATCGATATCGCATTCTGACTGATCTGCTTGAGATATCTGAGAAATGCAGTTCAGTTGGTGTGTTCACATGTTTGCCGACTCCACAATAAAGGTGGGTTTTTAAAATTATTTTAGAGGAATTGTTCGGCAGATATGTCTGACTAATATTTTTAATTAACTTCTTTTCTGGTTTTGCCTTTCTGTAAACACATCACCACCATCATCATCAACATCATAACTATAATCAACATCATCAACTGCCTTGCCGACTGCCATTGTCGATCATGTCTTTCCACAGTCCTTGATCTTTAACAGTGTGTATCAGTTCTTGAGCGGACAAAAAGCTTTCAAGAAACTTCTCGCCCTGTCTTCCTATGTCTCTTTTCCCACAGATTATTCCAGTGGTCACAATACGTCCCAGTTTCATTCTTCTCAAAACACACCCCCCCCCCACACACACACACACACACACCTACCCACAGCATAGATTTGTCAAAGGCAGTTAAGAATGATTTGCCGTCTCAAGGTTGACTACTTGTTTTATAAAGTCACGTTAAATTTAGACATTTCGGGGTGAACATTACCTTTGACGTCGCCCGCACTTATATCAACCTCGTTGTCATGGTACCTGTTCGATCTGCATAAAAACCGGAACCCTTTAATATACTTGCCGTCTTCAGAACCAAAATTGACAGTAATGGCCTTGACACTTTCTTTTTTGGCCTGGTATAAACTATTTGGCGTCTCTCTTTTGATGAAATAGTTCGTTTACATTATTCTTCACTTAGAGACAATTTACATTCTCAGTTCACGTGATGCGAAGGAGAAAACTGCAGAAGATTGTGACAGTAGGAAAGTTGAAGGGGAGGAGAGGCAGAGGTAGACCGAGAGAGCAGATGCTGGAAAGTTTGACATCATGGCATGGAAGATCATCTATGTCAGAGTTGATGGAAATTGACTTTAAAAAGAAGATTCTTGACTACCTCTGATCTTTCAATCTAGTAAGGTTGCAGGGGCAGATCGAGGCCTGGAGTCATGACCCAGGTCGGCCCACCTTACGATATTGTCTAGGGAAGTAATGGGCCGAAACAATCGCCACGATGGATCTTTCTACTGATGATCGGTGGACCCCTGCTGTTCATGCTCTTCAGTGGAGTTCTTCTTATTACTGGTTGCTAGCCATTGACGAAGCTTGCATGCAACAGCTATAATTGCTTCTTACACTTTTTATTGCCAAGGAAAAATGCATTATTGTAATGTTTATGATTACTGTTTACTATTTATTGCAAATACTCCACTCGGTTTAGGTCTGGAAAAGCGTTAAGACCGCTCGCTGCATGCTTATATGACTCATGCAGAAACTGTAACGTGTTAGAGCTGCCAGTTACTACTACTACAATGCTAGCTGCAGGTGCATACTCTCAACAGCGAAGCGATGAGGAGGAAGTATCACATGATACCCTCTTCAGTGTTTTGTTACCTGCTAACGCTTAAACATTTGAATGTATCACGTCGGCGTTACTGTTTCTAACAAAGGCTATCTCTTGTAATGTTCCATAACGTTTGACTTGTCTGGAAGGTTTTTTATCTGTTTTCAATTATGCTTCTTTAGTTCTCTCGTCATCTAATTATCTACCAGCTAGTACCAAGGCGGTATCTCCTTTGCGATCGCATAAAGCTCACCCAAAGTCCTCCTAATCTTAATATGTCTCTTTCCTGTACGATTTTAGTCTTCACTTTTACTTCAGCCCGTCGGTTCCCGTAAACGTTTATTCCATTAATTATGTTTCAATTCCCAACATCACTGTGATGTCTTATTTATCTGCTCCATGATTCTTCTTCTTCTTTACTTCCTCTTTTATCACAACGTGTGTCGAGGGAGATATGTGGTCCTGCTTCGTGCTCTTCGGGCTGCCTCGACCATAGAATTGTCATGGTCAAATGCTGTTTGATCAGTCCGTTACAATGTTATTGTACTTGTTGTAGGAGTGCTCGGTCGTTATATACATTATTATGTAGATCTACATTCCAAGATGAGATTTATATAACACATATTCCAAGATGAGATTTATTTAACACAGATTCCAAGATGAGATTTATATAACACCGATTCCAAGATGAGATTTTATATAACACATATTCCAAGATGAGATTTATATAACACAGATTCCAAGATGAGATTTTATATAACACATATTCCAAGATGAGATTTAGATAACACAGATTCCAAGATAAGATTTATATAACACATATTCCAAGATGAGATTTATATAACACATATTCCAAGATGAGATTTAGATAACACAGATTCCAAGATAAGATTTATATAACACAGATTCCAAGATAAGATTTATATAACACAGATTCCAAGATAAGATTGATATAACACAGATTCCAAGATAAGATTTATATAACACAGATTACAAGATGAGATTTATATAACACAGATTCCAAGATAAGATTTATATAATACAAATTCCAAGAGGAGATTTATGTAACACAGATTCCAAGATGGGATTTATGTAACACAAATATCAACCTATTCATTTGTTTGTTACCTCCATAGGTTAAAAAATGCCAGGTGAAGATGATTTTGTAATCTCCATTTCAAGCAATATATTTATTTCTATTTTATATGAATATTTCTGTTTTTATTGCTGTAAAACACAATGAAAAGCAGTAGTCGCTGTTTATATGGATGTTCCTATATTTATTACCCTCATGAGTTCAAAAACATTTGGAGAAGGTCACTTTTTTTAAATTTATATTTTTAGATACATTTTGACTTTATGTAAAGTAAATGTTTCCCCTTTTTTCGTAGCTCTTTAAACACTAGGAAGTGATAATTTTTATATGTACATTTACAAGATTGGTTTCATCTTTAAAATGATATGTGCATCATTTCAGTGTTTATTACCTTTCTAGGTTTAAACACATTAAGACTAGATTATTTTCCATATTTACATTTCAAGACGGGTGTAATCTTCTATGTATGATAAAAATCTATCCCTTCGATTGTTATGGCATAGGTTTATCTACACTTTGAGATAGGTTTTATCATAGTATTTTTAGTAAATATTCCCTTTCTCTCCCCCCCCCCCCCCCCAACCTCTCCAACCCCATAGACTGATAAATCCTTTTTGGCGTTCACTGGTTGTCAACTCGGGCGTAAAGTTTTGGGTGTTCATCCACCTCTGGACTTGAGACTTGTTCTAGAACCTGAGTGTTGCGTGCACATCCGTTTTACAGATGTGACTAATTTGTATACAGACTGTTGGTTCCTTGTCTCTCAGGCAGATGAACTCTCACTTCGAAGGAAACCCTCAATTAGTCGACTCTTTCGACATGCTTGTCGGGGAGTTAGGGGGATCTATTCTTGTTCTCTATACAATTAAGTCCTGGAACTCATACGGAGATAAAGGAAATGATCATTTTTCACGTCTACTTTTCAATATTGATTTATTCTTTTGTAATCAATATTTCATTATTAGTTTCATATGTTCAAACACGCCAAGACATTTTCCATATTCCCATTCCAAGACGGGTTTAGTCTTCCGTATGTTATATAAATATATTCTTTCGTTTCTATGTTCTTAGATCGAAACACACCGGGATAAAATCATTTTCCACATTTACATTTCAAGATATATTTATTCTTCTATACATACACATATTCCTTCGTTTATTATGTTCATTTTCCATATCCACATTTTAAGATGGATTTAATCTTCGATACATCTTCATATGTTTATAACATAAACGGAAATGATAATTTTTCATGTCTACTTTTTAATATTGATCTTTTTTTTTATTTGCCAACACTTCATTTTTTTTTTCTTTCATAGGTTTAAATATGCCAACACAAAATCATTTTCCATATCCACAATTCAAAATGGGTTTATTCTTCGATATGTGACATAAACATACCACTTCGTTTATTATGTTCGTAGATTTAGACACGCCAGGACAGAATAATATTCCATCTCCACAATTTAAAATGAATTTATTCTTCGAAAAGTTAAATAAACATACCCCTTCGTTTATTAAGTTCGTAGGTTTAAACACGCCAAGACAAAATTCTTCCCATATCCACAATTCAAGATGGGCTTTTTCTTCGATATGTTACATAAACATACCCCTTCGTTTATTAAGTTCGTAGGTTTAAACACGCCAAGACAAGATCATTCCCATATCGACAATTCAAGATTTGCTTTTTCTTTGATATGTTACATAAACATTCCCCTCCGTTTATTATGTTCGTAGATTTAAACACACCAGGACAAGAACCATATCTACGTTTTAAGGTGAATGTAATATTGGATTATTCTTCGATATGTTACAAAAATATACCCCTTAGTTTATTAAGTTCGTAGATTTAAACACACCAGGATAAGAACCATATCTACGTTTTAAGGTGAATGTAATCTGGGATTATTCTTCGATATGTTAAATAAACATACCCCTTAGTTTATTATGTTCGTAGATTTAAACACACCAGAACAAGAACCATATATACGTTTTAAGGTGAATTTAATCTTGGATATTTTTCTTTTTAGGTTCATCAGAAGAAGATTATTTTCCAGATGTACTTTTTATATATGTTCAATCTTAGAATTTATTCTTCCTAGGTTTATAAATGCCAGAAGAAGAATTGTACAGCCGATGATTGACCAGTCTAACCGAGCTGGACCTGGAGCGCACGCAGCATACAACCCAGAGGCAGCAGGCATGGGCTACTTTGATAACCAACACATGCAGATGAATGCTCACAGTCAGTACTCTTTTGCCATGAGCGTTTCAGAGAGTGAGTATAATTTATGTGTATACGTTTTACTCCTAATTCTTTCGGTCCCATACAGTTATCATTCAAACACTTTATATGGTATTTGTCGGTATCTGTGGCTTAGGCGTTACGAACGCGTTTCGTAATGTCGGGGTGTCGGGTTCGATCCCTGCTGCAGATGGTTTGTCTTGCGATGGTTTCGACCGTGATACCGAGGGCCGGCCGTCCAGGAGCAATGACAAACTACTGTACGTAAATTTGCCTAGAAAAACCACAACAGCCAGAAAGAGTTTGGGTTGGTTCTACAGCGTCCTGTAAAGAATAGGCATCTAAAAAAAATGGTATTTAAAACACTTTTTTCCCGTAATAAATGTAAATAATGCGAACACAAACAATACATTGCACAATTTATTGCCAGGCATATTTCGCTGTATCTGGTCAGGTGCTTTACTACAGAGTTACATCAACATAAAATGAAGCGCAAAACTGAATAAATCCAACTGAAATGCGAATAGTTTCTTTCAACACATCGTGGGTGTTTTGGCCACCGGAATCTCACCGTACTCGCGTGACTTACCAGGTTAACTTCAAATTTACTAAGATATTTAAATTAGGGTTAACAATCGGGTAATCGGGCAATCACAGTTTCAACTCAATGGCAAACTTGTCACCCCACTGTTGCTCCGTTTTTGCCAACGAAAACCACAGAGAATGTCCATCACTGTTCCTTGTGGAAAAAACTGGCACATAATGTACTCAACATATCAAATACCATTCACACGCATTAAATGCAGAAGGCCGCTATCAGAAAGGCTAACACAAACAGCCCTACACTAGAAATGCAGTTCATCATCGATGGAAGCCGCAGTTTCACCAGATCAGTTGTTGCACTCAAATGCGTCACCAGCAGTTCAGTAGCAACAGGCTACTCGTCCCTTTCAGAATCTACAATTCACAACAGAAACCACGCTGGTTACAGTCGAAGAACATTCCAAATCAAATCTTCAGCTCATAGTGTCGCGCCTTGCAGTCAACCGAGTAGCTGGGCGACGAAACTATATCCGTTCAGTCTAAAGAAGGAAAAAAAATGAAACTTCCAACAATTGTCATAATTTACCACGACTGAAAACAAACATGCTATTTTCAATATTGACCGAAAATGTATTAGGGTTAACTCTGCATATTGGGATTAACAATGTTTTTATGCATATAAGTGTATTCAACCAGTCTTGGTTCTCTACACTGCATCCCCCCCCCCTCCCCCCCCCCCTTTTTGTTTTCCTGAATGTATTTAACACCACCTGTATGCCACATTCTTCCTCTTCTTCTCATTGTTCTCCTTCTCATTCTCGTCAATAAGTTATCTCATCGAAGAGTCGGAGTGCAACCTGTATTGCCTGTATGCTCTGCTTAATACGTTATACATGTTAGTCTTCATGTCTTTGAGGTTATTGTTGATTTCTACGGCCCCACCTCTTCTAATCCTGTTTTTGTTTTTTTACCATGACTGTCTGTCGCACTTGGTTTTGGAGCATTCTCTTCAGCTGGCTAGAGTATTTCATCTGTTGTTCTTCAACACGTTTAGCACCAATCAAGACGCCCTACATTACCTGGTTACTCCCCACGTTATACACTTGTCCAATTACTTTGTTCCCCGTGTGTCTGTATTCTTCTAAGCGTTGACCGGCTGTCAACTCTGGCGAAAAGTCTTGATTCTTCCTTCACTTTTGGACTTGTTTCAGAACCTGATTTTTGCGTGCACATCTGCTGTACCGATCTGGCTTAGTTTTGTGCAGTCTGTTGGTTCCTCATTTCTCAGGCAGAGGCACTCAGATTTCGAAGGAACATCCTAATTAGTCTTAGACTTTTACGATATGCGTGTAAGGGGTGGTGGGTCTAGTCCTCTTCCCCCCTCCCCCACAATAGGGACTCGAAGCCCACACGTGCAATATATGTAATAACAAGTCATGCTAATCCAAATATTCCTTTTAGCATGTTTATCCCTTAGTGATAATATTTAAAACGTTAGAAAAAGTTAGAAATGATATTATCAGACAGATTGTAAAAACAACACCAGACAGAAAATTAACTGATAAACAGACGATCAGATGGTTCAGGAGATTTAGTAAGAATACAGCCAGAACAACTATCAACTCAGGCCTACACATTAAAAGAATTGAAGTGAAGTCAAGAGGCATCCCTAGGATAAATGGATCGAAGACATTAAAGCTTCTACATCGACATGGCATGATAGTAGCCATTGCTGCCCGTCAAGCAATGGATCGCTAACGGTTTCTCCCCAAAACGCAAAATAGCAGAATTGGAAATTGATAATGATGATGTTTCTTGAATATTTCTGGACATAAATATGTTTTGCTGTTAATAACAGTTAGGTAAGAATCAAGGAATCAACACGCTACCAGCCTAAAATTGAAAGAGGTAATTAATTGTATAGTCTCAGTCCTATCTTTTCCTAGGTTCGTTATTTTTAATGTGTGACAAAATGTAATGCATTACTAACAATGTTTACAATCTGTTTTATATAGGACTACAAGGCGGTCATGACCTCTACGACCCCATGAAGACCGGCTACTCACACCTGGACACAAGCCAGCGGTACGATATGCTAGGCATGCAGAGCATGCACCGGCCCGATATGTACGGCACCCCTCCTTCGTCTTACGCTCAGATGGCCCAGTTCTCGCCCCCGGTCCACTCTCAGGCTATGCTCATACCGGGCCACCCACACCACATGATGATGGGTCACGGAAACCCCGGCATGGCTCACCACGGAATGGCCTCAGCCCAGAGTCCACCTCTACACATGGAAGGTATGGGCGCTCACATACAAGATATTCACGCCGGTTAATATTCACAGTTCATAATTATTTCATTGTCTTGGCGTCCTATTTTATTTCATTTTATGGACAAACTTGAAGAAAACTGAATTCGGTCATTGCATTTTTTTTTTCAACCTGCTCGTCACAAAGATTTCAAAATATCTTCAGGCCCTTTCTATTCTCATAAGCAGAACATACACATTGAAACAAACTTCCAGTCGGGATCATTCATTGAGTCTCAAGAATATCATCGTCTGACAACTATGGTTTTGTGAAGTTTTGTGAAATGTGTATTCCATACTTATTGTCATTTTAGGGAGCAACAATTTGCTCTCCGAATTACACTGCAGAATCTGGATTTTAGAACCGCCTATGGAGAAATCACAACTTGAAAAGTATGAGAAGCCAGTCATTTACATTTGACTGAAATATTATTATGAAGCAAGATGTCAATACAAGTATTTAAAAATCAAGGTTTCCAGTTAAACTTAAGCTTGGTTTATTTTGTTAGAAATATGACTTACATTCGCTGGCCAACCAAGGCGGTCAGTGTAAATCATTTAAAAAGCAGTATCCGGAGGAGCGACTGACTGAACGTTTACGAACGCTGGGCTTTCATGCTGTAGAAGCGGGTCTGAATACTCGGAAATGTTATGCGGTTTTCTCCCCTTCTGTCAGAGCAGATAAATAAACCCTAACTTGCACAGTCCGTGGCGACAGAATAGCCACGCGGCTCTAAATCCCCAGGCTAAAAGACCCACCTGTCTACACTGCAGAAGTGGTAAACACAGTTTCAAGGGAGGTCGCTATATCAAGTGAAGCAAACACTGACACTAACATTTGATCGTGGTTTTCAAAGAGGATAATCGTGTACCATGCTTTAGTATACAATGGTGTTTGACAACAGTACAGTCCAAAACTGTGGTTTTACCGTGAACAAGTGTGACACTTTGTACTGACAGTTACAGAATATCTCGTTTTCTAACGTGTGACAGTCAAAGAGCATAACATAAGGATTGTGACAACACCAAGATTCATTGTCTGTGCTAGGCTTATTTAAAACTATCAGTTCCTAACTGTATGTAAGCTCTGTTCTTTTGCTTAATTTTACTGTTAAGACAAAAGGAAACAAGTTTGCAGAGTTAAGTTATATTGTGTTTGTTAGTTCTTAAAATGGAATTAGTCGCTAGGATGTTGATGATTACAGTAATAAAACAAAAATATTGGTTTAGCGTAATATGCCCGTCGATATTCTGTGGCTTATGCATTGCAAACGCGCTAATTCAAGTGGGAACCCGTTCGATTCCAGCTGCAGACCACGTTGCGCTGATTTCGACAGTGGTGGCCAGTGCCAATTATTAAACAGTAGCAACCTATTGAACGTACAAGCAGAAGTGGTCGGGTAAATGTCTTGCTCCTTGTGGGGGTTATGGGATTGACAGGCGCCTGGTTTAAATGAAGTATGTATTTATGGATCAGAGGAGATATCTTAAACAGACAGTTAGGCTGTTATTTTATGAAGTCATTTGTTATTAAAAAAATAATGACTTCAGAAAACATTTTTTAAAAATTATTTTAGGCTTTAAAAAAGGGGGTTGGGGGGGAGTGGGGGGGGGGGGGGTTGGGCACTATTATACACGAACAAAATACGATATACATGCAATCTTTGCAGTAGGTAAACACTAGAGAACATTGTGTTGTTAGTAGGTAACGATAAGCTTGCTACAGAAGGCAGTGTATCAGTTGTGCATGGGCAATTAACATTCACATAGCACTCTATTGGTAGCTTTTACACCGTGGTTTTTTTTTTTTCGTTGAGCAATTTGGAATTGGTATATGTATGTGTACACACACTCGCGCTCGCACAAACACACACACTTGTTACAGAAAGCAATCTATCCACTTATCTATGACCAAGAAGTTTAACCAACCGGGAAGAGTTGGAAAACAATTACTCTTGAAAAATCAAACATTTCACAGGAAGCCTTTGTCGACAGACACACACCAATTATCTATAAAGGAAATAGACGTCCAGAGAGTGAGAAATTGGTGATGTGTACACAAGAGATATTTTACAATTAGCAGTTTGCTATTGGTATATAGAAAAAAAAAAAAAAGAGACATTATACAGAAAGCACCTAATCCATTCAACTGGGACCAAAAAGTTTAACTGAACGGGGGGGGGGGGGGGGGGGGGGGGGGGGTAGGGGAAAACACTCTAACAGGTACAGTTTGCCATTTTACTGGGTTGTTGATAACGGCTTCTATCGCAACGTGCTATTTTCATGTGGGTATCAACAAAAACGTATCTAACCTTAAACTGTTTTTGATATGATAAAATAGTTAAATATGTAAACATCTTGTTTTTTTTTTTTTTTTTTCAAAAAATGTGCTACAAAATTAGCTTAATCAAGTCGTTAAATTTCTCTTCTGAAGTTTATGTATCCAGTTTTTATTATATTGACATGATCGACAGCTGTTACTGCATCTGCAGCAACAAATTACTGTCGATGTTGCTAGCAAACCTCATGGTGATTCAAAGCTGCTTGTAAGCCTTGATACACTCGACATCCTATGATTAAGCCTATGTTACAGCATACGAATGACTTAATTGCTTAAACTGACACATATTCAATTATTTGATAAGTTCAGTGAAGAAAGTATGCCTACATTTTTACTTCACCTTCTTTTTCACAGTTAAAAGTTAAATAATAAATGCAAACAATAATGTCTTAGTAATCACACGAGTCTGAAGTCTGTAAATTATAAAGCCCCCCCCCCCCCCCCCCACACACACACACATACCCTTCTCCGTATTAGCTGTTACGACATCATTGAAAGGCACAGTTTATTTTTATTTGTCAGAATTATGACCCATAAATCACTTTAAAGTACTAGTCATAAATCATGTTTCCCCATCTTTGTTTTGTTTCCTTATGATTTTTTGTTTTAATTTTTTTTTAAATCACAGAATGAGGTATGCCAGTTATATGTCAGGGTGTATATGCCTTGTGTTTGAGTTTGTTTTCCCTTAATTTAATTCTTCGTTTCTGCAAGTTAACTAGCTGAAATACAGACATCACTGGTCTTGAAGATGTTTTTAATAAAAATGAGTGTCTTTCCATCCATGAGTCCAAACGGCATCAGTTAACATAAAAGTTAACATACTGTTTGTAAATTATATATATAAATACACACACACACACACACACTAATTAATTGTAAAAAAAATAGCAGAAGTTATGGTGCCAGGAATTAGGGACAGGGGCCGACCAACACGAAGATGGGTGAAGGATATTAGTGACTCCTTGAAGGCGGTAACTGCAGCTCTCCGGTGGCTAGAGAACAAGATGCATACACATATTGTAACTGAAAGCATGGTGAAAAAGGTGAGGACAGGGTTGCTTTGAGCAGAGTGGCAAGCTTCACTGGAAAGGTCAGGAGTAGTGAGTATACTTTGGATCTTTTCTCCAGACCATGCCAGCATGGTGGGTAATGAACAGGCAGACAGATTGGCTGGATCCGCACCACTGAGTGGTGAATTGATACATGACAAGGCAAGGCCCTTCGGGAACAAGCAATGGAATCAGTAAAGAAAGGTTATTATGGCCTGGAGAGAATGAGGCACGTGAGTGATACCAGAGGGTCTGGCCGGCTCACTGCCCTCAGAGGAAAGGCAAAACGGACATTTAACCAGATTGTGACTGGTACCATCAGTATTGCGCTGGCTGCTGAAGACGAGGACGGAGCACTCATGGAAATGACCCAAGTGCCGTGATGTTAATTCTTGACTAAACTTAACTCCTTGAATATGAAAGTTTACTAGCCGAGCGAGATGGCGAGAGACCGAGTTTCTGTTAGGTCGCGGTAAGAGCGACGTACTGCTACATAATGATGAAATAATGGTCTTCCCTAACGGAATCTTAAAAACCTAGGGACCAGATAATGGCACCTTCGAATTAAATCTGAACAACTTAGACATTCAATAGTGGTCTCTCCTAATATACGATGGGGTAATGTAACAGAGATCCCGTTTCCTTCTCTATAAATTTCGGGGTATTTATTTTATCCTGGGTTTAGCTGAGAACTCACGTAAATATAGGAATCAAATCCAAGTCTCGAATTGGGCTCGAACTCATTATCAGACCGATGGGCAAGATAGCTAGCTACTGGTCTATGAAGTCTTGGTCTTGTTTGTGTATTTTTACTTTTTTATATGTACTTTTTATTTTAATCTGACCTTAATTGAAATCAGACAACTTTATGTTATCTATTTTTTTTTTTTTTATAAACTGAATTAAGAACTGACAATATATTCTGTAATAAAACAGACCGCCCTGTTGCTCTTCTTTAAATTTATACCTCGTATTGTTTGATCTTATGCTATGTTTTGCTTTTAAGTGAAATCTAACATTATTCGAAGTGCATTCCAGTTTCTTTATTAAACGTTTACCTTTAGCAAGGTGGCCAAAGGTATGATTCTCTTATTTCATCGTCATCGTGTGTCGTGCTCCTAAGTGTTGGCGGTCAAACTTCGCCATCTCTTACCATCACCAGATTAGGTCAGTGCTCTTTTCTCGCCCCATCCATATGGTCAAGGCATTCAGGTATTTATCTCTCTGCTTATCTTTTGCGCTTTTATAATTGATGTTGCCAGTTTTAACCAAATTATATATACACCCCCCCCCCCCCCGATGTAAAGCCTCTAATTGCCAGATTTAAAAAAAAAATTATGTGTCAATCATTCTAACTGTATATTTAACATTTTTTTTCCCAGTCCTAGATTGTTATTAAACTGGTTATATCCAAGAAGCCATTAATTACTTTAATCAATAAATATGTGAACCTGAAGGGTTTAAAAATAACAAATGAATGAAAATAACAGTTTCTTTTTAAACTGAAAGTTCATGCCGAGTGATTCAACATAAAAATTGGACTGAAAAGTGGGAAAAAGGGGGCGGGGGGGGGGGAGGGGCTGGGGAGGTTTGAGAATATTATATGTTATATATATATAGACCCAAACAAACAC